AGCCTTATGACATTCTGAAAATAAAACCATTCTTTTGGCTTTATTTAGTCGATCTCGTTCCTTCTTGTACTTGGCGAAGAAGGAAAACAAAATCAAGTCAGAGTAACAGAAAAATTAGCAACCCCTCCTAGAGAAAACCCCCATGAGTTGATTCAATTCGTTTGAACACCCGTAGTTTTATAGCCCAAATGACACCACTACCCAAAAAATACTTATGTAGCCAGCCAGTAATCCATTGCCATTTTTAGGTATCGCTCCCCCTCCTCCCCAGCCGCAAGACAGCTGGCCGCCGAGTTGGACGAGTTGCGGCGGATGGGTGATCATCACAATCCATATGCATCGACGTTGCCAAGAGGAATGGGAGTCAAGGTGAGTAATGTGGACGCATTCGACTTGTTTTGTGACTGGTCTCGACATATACGCGTCAAGCCTTATAAATCCATTCTTCGCGGCTTGGGGTTTTTTTTTGCGGTTTGACGTTTGCTTATTGGGATGCGACGTAGTTGTCGAAATCTAGCGAAGATGCGAGGATGATTCTGGGTCTTTCTCGGCCTTCAAGAAGAAACTTGCCAGCAATTTTTGGCCGATAAGGGTACTCGGAAGTGCCAAAAATTACTTAAAATTAAAATTTGTTTAACGCTTTCATGTTATGCTCCATGAAAAACGAGTTTTCGCCAATTTTTATTTTCTAACCATTTTATGAATATTTTCAGGCCGCTTCAACACTCGCCCTGCCCGGAAAGAAGCTGTCCGTGGCTTCATCAGTGGGAGGTGCGTCAGTGGATGGATCGACAGAAACCGGGACCGAATCCAAACGAGGAGGTGCCAGCCGGAAAGGATTTAACCACTGGCTGGCCACCTTTGGAAGGAGACGTCACAAGGCTACAAACCACAATAAGAGGGCGCTCTCTGTACCCAATTTAGGTATCGGAAACTGTCTGTTACGACGCTCTGGACACACTAACATTTTTGTATAGTTAATAGAAATTTTAATGTCATTACATTTAACTCAATTTTGGAATTTCGAGGATTTTTGGAATTTTTTAGACGTTTAACAGTATGAAAACTACTATACTGGTCTGTTAGCGTGTTTTTCTCTAACTTAAATGTCGAGTGATCGATGTAAATCTAACCCAAAAATCTTGAATTTTTATGACAAAAATTAAGTTTTCACGTTTCTAAAACCTAAGCTATTTTTCACTTAAAATGTCGCTAATTTATTTATATTTTACGATAGCAAATACAGTAGTATTTATTTAACCTTAAAAATATACAGAATTTCGATGAAAAATATTTAAGCTTTTTAACTCGAGATTAAATTATCATAATTCCTAGTGCGCGAAGCCGCCCAACTTTCCAGTAAGTTACCGCACTTCAAAAATGCCATAAAACATTGTGACGATCCCCAGAATTTGATGTCGTAATCATATACACCCAGGCTAATTGACCCCTAAACCGTGCCCTAATACCGTACCCTGGCCCCGGCCCCTAATCCATGAATATCGAGTGCATACCTTGTGGCGTCTCCAAACACCTCGTGCAGGTCCCGGTAACAACATTGTCGTTTTTATGTTGTTTTTAAGCTCATGAAATGCGTGTAAATTTCCTAATTTCTAGTGGAAAGTGATGATGAGGTGACGAGGGGAAAAGCCGCTTCATCGTCGTCAAAATGTGGGTTTTTCACTATTTAAAAACAGTCCAGCAATTCAAAACAATTATCAATTTTTCAGTAGATTTAATACAGTAGATTAATCGATTTTACAATTTTCTAGGTTTCAAAGGCGAAAAAATATCGTTAATCCATTAGATTAAATCCCGAAAATCCAAAAATCCAGAAATCAGTTTTGTTTGGCATTTAAAATGCTAAAATATAAACCTGTAGCATTTAGCTTTAACTAATTTACTACTACTACTACTAAGGACACTAAGAATTTATGAAAAAATCGCTCGGATTTTTGAAGAAAGTTAGTTTGGTTTTTGAGTCGTTTAATTTATTAATTTACGAAGTGCAGCTATCAAATTGTGAAATTTGATAAAGCTAACTAAAATAAAATATCTGAAACTCAACAGTCAAATTTTTTAGTGGACCCCTCCTTCAAGCGGGACCGGACGCGCAGCTCGCTCCGGAATCTGTTCTCGAAGCTCACCCGTTCCTCCTCCCAGGACCACAACACTTTCAGGAGGGGATCTGCGGCTAGGTATGTGTTATTGGATAGGCGCATTAATGATATCTTTCAGATCAACCTCAGCAGCTCGTCTCGGTCCTTCAACCGGTCCTCTCTCCGGTGCCATCGCCCTCCGTCCTGCTGTTCAACAGTTTGTCGACTGGAAAACGGACCAAATTAGCGAGTGGTTTGGTGAGTTTTTGAAGGAAATCGTTAACAAAAAGTTATAGTGTAATTTTTATCAGAATTTTGTAACTTTAAAATATATTTCCAGGTGAAATCGGCTACCCTCAATACGTCCCGGAAGTGGCGAATTATGTAAGGAGCGGTCGTCACCTTCTGAATATGAATGGGGATGAGCTGGAGAAGGAGCTCGGCATCAAAAACCCATTGCACCGGAAGCGGATACTGCTTATCTTGAGACGGATAGAGGAGGATGTGTTGGAGCCGGTCGACAAGTTTGACTTGCACCAGGTAACGATCGATTTTAAGGCAGATCTTGAGGTCGCGGCTAAAAAACAAAGAGATTTTGATAGCAGCGCCCCATTAAAAATATCTGGTCAAATTCCTGCCCAAAAAATTGCTTAAATTTTCAATTTTGCAGGTGGTCCGCTGGCTGGACGACATTGGACTTCCCCAATACAAAGATACCTTCACTGAATATCTGATCGATGGCCTCACCCTGCTTCATCTGACCGCTGGCGATATTGTTGAGGTAAGCTAGTCCATTAAAGGGGTCATAAAGTATGAATCGACCCCTTCCGCATGCTAGGTCTCGACAAAACACGACCTCGCAAGCTAAAAAATGTCCCTTGCGCCTAGTTGTCTAGACCTAGTCATGAAAGGGCGTCGATCTTGGAGTTGCCTGGCGTTTTACAGATATGATGACAGCTAGTAGAGACAGCTAGAGTTCGACGTAGAAGCCAAAACCACGTCAGTACAAAATTTTTTAGATGCGAATCACGAACGGCTCACACTACGCCACGCTATGCCGAAGTATCCAGTTTCTGAAGGCCGTATCGTTCAGACCACAGGCGCTGGACAAGAAGTTTGACGCGGTAAGGGATGAGGGTTGAGGATTACATATTGTAACCGCTATCAAGGCTATCAAGGCCAACATCTCTGTTTTAGTCGTCCGTCGCTCGATACCCGTGCCCGAATTCCGTGGTCCGCTGGTCACACTCTACCACATGTGAATGGTTGCGGACGATCGATCTCTCGGAATTTACGCCAAATCTGCTGTGCGCTGGTTTACCGGGCGCTTTGATGGTAGGCTATCACCCCTTTAGAAATTGATAATCCACAGGCATTTCATAGCGTCATCGTTTTAGGTCTACGAGCCGACATTCACCGCCGAGAGCCTGTCCGAGATGCTCCAAATCCCACCCCACAAAACGCTCCTCCGACGCCATCTGACGTCTCATTTCAACCAGTTGCTGGGCCAGAAGCTGATCGCTGATAAGAGGGACTTCTTGGCCGAGGGCATCTACCCGCAGCTGATGCCGAACATTCGGATAAAGGTGGGCATCAGAGTTCCAAAATTCAACGAACCTCGAGAGCAAAACTTTAACATCGGGTTTGTCGCTTTTAGCCAAGACACAAATTTTGCCTTGTAGCTTCCTTTAAAACAGAATATGCATCAAACTATGACTTAATTTAGGTAGTGAAGAAGGGCTTCTCGCTAACCCGAAAGAAGGGGAAGAATGAAGTGTGTGTCGAGCCTGAGGAGCTACTTTGCCCACTCGATGTCAAACACCGCTTCCCAATGGTTAGTAAACTATAGAATTTGATATTCTCTATGGCGATCAGAAGGTATTATCGATCAGGTTAATCGTCATAACTTAAAAAAAAGCAATACCTGGATTTTTCGCGATGAAAATTCCCAATAAGACCATACCATTTTTGAGACGAGACAAATTCTAAAAGGTCACAAGCTATGTCAGCTTCCGGGCGTAAAGGAATGATTAAAACTGTGATTTTGCAATCGTTTACACCAAGCCACGACGCGCAGCGCGTGAGCCATCTTTAAGAAATCACGCGCGTTGCGTGCTGTTTCTCTTGCCTTTGGACATTTTAGGGTCGTGACCATTGAATTCGAAACGCGCCAAATTTTGCAGTAGACGTGTTGCGCTCGCGACTCGCAACGCAAGCCACCTTAAGGACATCTAGCGCGTTGCGTGTCGCGGGCGCCGCGAAATGCATATGGAATGTATGCCCAAAAATCCATAGGGGTGCCTTGTCAGTCCCTTTACTTCAAATACCAGTTTTCCGATTTCTAGGATAAAGATCGGGTTTTCAAAAACAATTTCCAATTTTTTAGACAGCCCAGTCGCTGCTCGAATCGATGGACTCGACCAATATTTGAATATCTATCCGATTTTTATGATTTTCAATGCTTTTCAAAGAATTTCTTCCGCTGCTCTCCCCATCCACGAATATGCCTTTCAGGGATCGGTATCGAAGTATGAAAATTTACAAACCAAAAAATTTCTATTTATCGAGCCGATCCCCCGATTTTATGGGTCTTCCCAAACTTTTTATTTTTCATTTTGATATCTATATTTTCTAATTGATATCCGCCGTGTCATACCAACTATTTCGCTTCTAGTTTCTTCATTTGGTGCTCTTTAATTTCAAATTCGATCGATAATTTGATAGAAAGGAAATAATTCTATCGTGAAAAGTGCCTGTCTCCCCGCCCACAAAGCGTCGTGAATAAATCCATATATTCATCATCATCGAGTTGGTTGGAAATGCAGATTAATTCCACACAAACACCTTCGTCAGTTGCGAGACAACAGAGAGTCTGTACGGAATTGGAAATTACATTTTGCCATGGCCACTGTCCTGACATTTTTTCTTTTTGGTAAGTTCTAAAAATCAGGAAAACACAGATTACCAAATTATAGCGTAGAAATCAGCGTATATTGACTGGCTTGAAGTGAAGCTTGCCAAACCAAGTTGGCATTAGGTTTTTCATAAGAGATTTTGGGTTATGGCATCGATAGCTCGCAGGCATCGGAACGAGATTTCAATCGATTACGCAATCAAAAGGGCAGGGGCGTACGTTGCGTGTTACCAAAAGCCTCTCTAACTGTGTCTATGTTAGTGCCTTTCCGGCGCTTGAAATTAAAAAAGCCACAACCCATTTACACTATTGAAAACAGGGCCAATTTTAGCAGGATTGCGATTTTTTTTATCCGCCTTACCCGTAATTTAGTAGTGGCCGTAGTACAATGCTCTTACAACATCGAACGCGAGGCCATCATCAGCGATTTGAGCTGGATTGAGGAGGTTTGTCGGCGACTCTCTCCACCCCTCACTTTCTCACTCTATCTCTCCCTTTCTGTCTCCGTCTTTTGTCGTTTCTACTCTCAAGCCTCAGGTGCTCTACGATCAACCGCTAAAAATCAACGAATACTCGATGATCTCGTTGGCAATGGCCGATGCCCGATTTGGGTTGAGGAAGAGGAAATATCAGATTGCGTTCGATGCGGTGAAGAAGTTGATGCAGAAGGTAAGATAGGACGCGTAGGTATCGCACATTTGGAGCCGTAGCTGCCAAAATTATTTCTGATTCCCTACGTTCACTTCAGAAACCCTTTAAAGTTAGTAAAAATTTCTCAAACTCGACCCCTTCCCTCAACTAGGTGTTGACACTTATTCAGGCCGCCAAAAGACACATTTAATCTTGAGCTACAGCTTCTCCGGAAGTGAGGGAGGGATACCACCTAATACCGTATAGCTAACCTGTGTTTTGGTGCGCTGCGTGCGTGTCTAGACCTAGTCGCTGGAAGGGACGGGTTTTCGAGCATCCCAGTTCCTTTCAAACCGATATTCAGGTGGAAAATGGCCGCCTCTCCGAGCGAGTCAGCAGCAAATTACTGAAAAAGTTGGGCGAAATCATGGAACAAATCCAATACGTTTTACCCGGATCTCACACCGACGCGGATGATGATGAGTGGATGAGGAACCCAATCAGAAATCAGAATAGTCGCGACAAACAGATGGTCGAGAATCTGGCGCCGGAAGATGGGGTGCTCAACGAGAGTCCAGAGGGCAAGAAGGAGGCCATACTGAAAGAATTGGGACAAGAAAAAGATATCATAGCCTTTGGAAAGAAGGGAGGAGAAGCTGGAAACGGAAACGGCAATAACAATGGAATGATCGAGCGACTGAATGCGTTCGAGGATAAGCAGAATGGGAAGGGGACTGCGGCTCCAGAACTCATTCCGGCAGCTGCTTCTGAGAGAACGATTGGACAACAGCCAGGTATGATAAGGCCTAATTATCGTAACAATCTAGTATATAATAAATTTATGAAAGCATGTCAATATATTAAAAATTTCGGTTTTAATTAAGTTAATTTTTGAAGCACACAAAAGCGTTTTGTTTCAGGCGATTTGGACCATAACATTTTCGTCGACCTCGAGCTAAAAATGTGAAATCTGCAAAATTCTCTCTGGATCATAACTTTTCTCTATATTTTTGCTTATTACTTTGAATTCACTGGATAAATTTTACTTAAGGTAATCCCGGTAATTCAGCACCTTAAACATCAAATCGCATATTTCACTTTTATTACTTTTGGATGTTTTAATGTTGGAAGCCTCTATACAAATTTGTTTAGAACTTCCTCGATCAAGCCGATTCTCTTCCAAAATCTTTTTAATGTTCTAACTTCCAGAACCTTCAACAAGCGAGGCGACGCCAACCTCGTCAGGGTCCCATCGTCGACGTCACCGAAAGCAAAGACTCGGGGCATTAAAAGGAAATACAACTGAACCACCGAAGAATATTTCGGTTGCGATTCCTGTATCCGATCCATTCAAGCAGGCGAATTTCGGAAGTGAAAGAAGTCAACACGCCGCGAAGCATGATAATTTTCATTGTGGTAAGTGACAGTCCGATAGGTTGATAGATGAACGTTAATGGAGTCGTTGGTATCAGGAAATCGTGAAAAAAGCGGTGAAAACGCGTTTTTTTAGACAATTTGGGCCAACAACTGCCGCGTCACACGAAAATGGCGATTCTCGAGGTGAAATTTGCAGTTTATGGGCTAAAGTAGGCCGTTTCCAGACTACAAATCGATTCCGCTCCAAGATTGCAAAGGGCGAATATCAGGGATTTCGGGACAAAGCCTTCCCACCAGCGACGAATATGCGGAAAGTGGTGCGTTTAGGTTCTTTAAAGGCGCGAGCAAGGCAACACCATGGATTTTATTTTCCATGGGGTTTTTATTGATTTTCTGATGAAATAACGGTAGTTTTGCAACCCTTTTAAAACGACGGTAATACGCCCAAATGCACACTTTTAAGCTCTGGAATTGCGAGCTCGAGGAAAAAGCCGATAAATGGGCCCGCCAATGCCAAATGATCCATTCTGGAGCGGATGTCAGAAGAGGCCAGGGGGAATGCCTTCACTTCCCGACGCCCGTCCCGACTAGTCTCGAGGCTTTTAATGGTAGCTTCACCAATCATAATTCATTATGATTATTTGCCAAGCAACGAAAATGGTTGATATCTTCAACGGCGAGTTCAAGAAGCGACTTATCGATTTTCCGGTGAAAATGGATCATTTTAATTGGAAGTTTGTTGGGCATGCTACGCAGGTTTGTTTTTGATCGATATCTTGCTCTCTCTCTTCTCTCACTCTCTCTCTCTCGCGCGCGCACTCTCTCTCTCTCTCTCTCTATCGAAACACCTTTTTAGCAAGCCTGGGCCGACAACGACGCCATCGGATGTGCTTCGGCATTTTGTGGAGACAAATTCTGGGTCGTTTGCCGTTACAGAACGTGGGTTGCGATGCGGTGCCTCAATGTTCTCTGCTATGCCGCCCTAACTACCCTCATTTCAGCGGTAATAACCTGGGCGCTACCATCTACGATGAAGGTGCGCCATGCACGGAATGTCCTCAAGGAACCACCTGTAACGTCGTCACCAGCCTTTGTGACCCGAGCAATTAATGGCGCAAATAAAAAATGAACAAGCACAGCGAGCGGTAAATTTAAATGGGATTAAATTTATTAGCTTGTTACCCGCTTATTTGTATTTGTCCAAAATGGCCTCAACGAACGCGTCGCCGTCGAGTACAGTCCTGAAAAACAGATAGCCAGCCGTTAAAGGGATGCCGACGGCATAGTCAATCGGTTACGCGCGGAAAAGAAAATGTCTCTGCGCCTCTCCCCTGGGCGGTTGCCCTGTTGGCTACTTGCCAATTTGTTGATGGGGATCGACACATGCCGTCGGCAGCCCTTTAAAATCGCTCTGTTGTACCAGTTCGAACATCAGATTAATTTTCATAATTTTAAGCAACGTAATCCGACTGACTTAAAAAATATTTGTTATTTTCCGTACCTATAATTCCCTGGCAACTTTCTGACAACGTCCCAATGATCACAGCTGCAGTTGCAGGGTAGAATAGCGTGAGTGGCATGGGAATGCACAATTCGGATCAACATCGGGATGAAGTGCGTCCAGTAGAAGGATCGAGTTTGTTGATTATCGACCAGGAACCACTCCGAATATTTCCAGACGAGTAGAATGATCTCCTTCGCCAGCTGAAAAACTAAATAGCTTAAGTGGGTCGGGAAAATATCGCAAGAAGAAAAGCATCCAAGGAAATTTTAGGTTTCCTTGGATGCTTTTCTTCTTGCGATATTTTTTGGCGAGTCGCGACGCGTACGTACGCACGTAAATTGGTCGTGTAATGGCTAAACTGTTTTCGAAAGCGTTTAGCATTGCGTCTCACTTCCGCGCAAAATTACACAGTGGATTGAACGCCAAGAATCCATAGCCACATTGCCCGCCCCCCTTAACCATCAGCTCACGCACGAAAATGACACTTTTCATTAGTGCAATAAGCACCTGATTTGGATCGCCGACCCTTCCCTCTGAGCATCTCCAACTCGTGCAGCAATTCCTCTTCAAAAATTCGAACCGCTGCCGCACCAGCTCGACGCGATAATTGTGATCCTTATTCGTCCAACCTTGCTTCCATCCCGGAGCCACAGCACGCTCAAGAAGTGCAGGAGTCACCAGTGAGGATGCTTCATTTAGCAGCGCTTCTGGGACCCGGACACATATTGGGAGAGGTATCGCACCAAGCACCGCAACTTTGCAATAGCGATCTTTTTCTTCTTTGCTGCGATAGATGGTGCTGTACCAGACATCTTCACGAAGTTCGAGGGATCGGTGGATGAAATCGGGGATAGGCCGGAAGTGGAGGGGTTTGTTCTGGAATTTGGCGGCTTGGTTGGATTTGACGAGTAGTAGGAAGTCGTGGGCACCTCTAAAAAGGTCGTTGATGATCAGCTGAACGGGTTGAAGTCGTTGGAGAGAGGGCAGTAGCTGAGAGTAAGTAAGAGAAAGAGGAAGAGAGAACGAGAGAAAGTGAGAGATAGAAAGAGTGAGAGTGAGTAGGAGATTGAGAGACAGGCAGAGAGTCCGAGAGAAAGAGTGAGAGAGCGGGAGAGAGCGTGAGAGAGTGAGAGAAAGCAAGGGAGAGAGAGAAAGAGTGAGAATGAGAGAGAGCGAGAAAGCGAGAGCGAGGGAGTGAGAGTGTGAGAGAGAGAGAGAACTACTAACCTTGTCGGCAGCACTTCAAACATGGCCCAATCCTTTGCAAAGTGACTCATCGGTATCTTGCATCTCCAGTGATAGGTCCCAGTGGGTGCATTACAGGGATAGATACTCGTTTCAGGCAATCCCAAGAGTCCCTTGCTATAATAGCCGAGAGTAGTCGTGAAGAATGTCAACGGGTAGCAGCTAAGTGGGCCGTCAAAAAACGGATCCGTGGCCAGCTTCCAGTTTAGGATCTGGTAGGAAGGACAAGGCTCCTGAAACAAACGCGTTCAAATTATGTTGTATAGTCTATCGGACGAAGCGGATATAAAGCACAAAAAAGCCCACTTACAAACGAGCTGATATTCGTCACATGGCATCCATACTCAATCGGGGCCAGCTGCGAATCCATGGGTCAGCTTAAAATAAGGAATTTTTGTGCATTTTTGCGCTATATTAGGGATGATAGTTAGAGTGAGAGAAAAGGGATTGCCATGTCTGAAAAACGAAAGCAAATGGCCCTAGTTCGTGATAAAAAGTGCGGAATTGCGGCCGGGAGAGAGCAATCATTTTCCATAAGCCCCGAAAAGACAAAAATCCTCAGCTCTGCCAACGGAACAAAAACCACCAAAAATGTTAGTAACAAAAAGTGCGGTTCAGAAAATTTTCTAGCAGCTAATGGACCAAATGTTTATAAAGGCCTTGTGCGTGATTTGTTTACTTACGCGATTCAATCGCCCGACCAAAAAGTCCCATCTTTTGCCTGGGCTGGCACAAACTCGTTATCACCTAGTCAGCCCAAGCCACACACACACACATTGGGGATTATAAGTTCGGGAAGTCTCGAATGGAATTCTTCGCACTGGGGACAATCGCATTTTGAGGATTTTTTTGAGAATCATGTATACGTCTTGTAAAATTACCGCATTTTAAAGAAAGATCTATCGACACAGATTTGCCATATCAATTTGCTTAAATTGATCCTCAATAGTCAAAAAAAACGGCAAGGCGTGAAAATTAGGGCAAATTGGTTGCCAAAACCCAGCAGCGAACTCGCCGATCAGATACCCTAAATGCCCCACTTTTCGGCAGGTTCTTTTGGGGGCAAATGCAACTTTGAGAGAAATCGGGCGGTTCCCATACCGTGCCAGTCCCAATGCCCGCGCCGCCTTCTGGCCCCCTTTTGCTCATTCGCGTTTGTTTAGATAGGTGCGCTGTGATGCGGTTCGAAAATCTGTACTCGTCAGTCGTCGTTTCTGAGGCTCAAATGAAGATATCCGTTGATTTATTTAAATACGAAACACACCAAAATCGCAATGTTGGCCATTTTTAAGCAATTTGATGAGGTAGATTAGGACAATGTAATCAATATTACAAAATATAATTTGTCAGTCCTCACCAAGTAAGTTTGTTCAAAATTGCTGCGATCTGCTCGTCGCCTTCGAGGACTTGGCTGAAATATAGCGAATTAGGGGCATTGACCAAATGTTGTATTTGCAAAAACGAAGTGGTTTGAAACCCCAAGGGATAGAGCTTTAAAAATTAGAAGGGCGAGCAGCTTAACTTACAACGACTTTTCAACCATAAATTTTTGCTAGAATAAAAAATAATTTTAATTCGAGATTTTTCGTGCTGAAATTACATCTCCCAAGCTATTTTTTTTGCGTTATCCGTCTACATAATTTGACTAGAAATAATGGAATCTTATAGGACGACCAGCGCCCAAAACCCGCTTCGCGGGCCTTGGGCGCTGGAACCCTGTCTTTGCATGAGAAATTCGACTTTCCGATGGCTCGGGTCCTCCGCACTCCCCCCCCCCCCCAACCACAGGCGCGCGTGCAATTCGCAAGAATGAGGAAATTTGTATTTTTTCGTATTATGCAAATTAGCCCTCAGCTACCCCCAAAAATGAATAAAACCGGCTTTAACTTTGTTAACTTGCATTTTAGCGTAATTCTGAAAACGCCATCGGAAAGAGAGGGTCGATTTCCCTAATTGACGAAAAATCAAAGAGTTTGATCCACGGGAAGGCCCTCAAATCGGGCCTCGAAACTGACCTCCGCACACACACACACACACAAAGATACGCGACCAAATTATATAAGGTAGGATATAGGCCTAACCCTGACTTGCCCCTTCTCGCTAAGCAACCTCTATCTGAACTTACCTCAACGTTTCGGCAGATTTCGGAGCACGCTTTGTAATTGTGTCCCAGTGATCGCAATGGCAATTGCAGGGCAGTGTTCCGTGTGTCGCGTGGCTATGCGCAAGCTTGATCAATTTTCGGTAGAAGGAACTGGCTTGGAGCTGCTCTTCCGTACCAGCCAACCATCCCGCATACTTCCAAATGTGAATTGCAATGTCAGTGGCAAGCTGAAAAACGATAGTCAGAATGGGTGTAGATCGTTTCGTTTTTTAATGGTTCTTTCTTAGTATCGGGGGAGGGGGGTTGATGGATGGGACCTTTAATTGCCCTTAGCAAAATGTAACTATATTTTAAGTGAAAAATTATCGAAAAATTCTCCAAAATTTCGTAAAGATGTGGCTTTTAAGCAAAATTGGCATTTACCTCGAAACGCGATAATTTATGGCATTTTGAAATGAATTTTACAGTTTTTACCTTTGGAAATCATAAAAAACAGCCTAGAAGCACTTCCTATATTTATTTTAGGAAAATCGGACCATTCGTCACCCCCCCCCCCCGATAAGACGAAAGCCCCGAGGTGTATTTACAGCTATCATGATAGGAATGCTTACCTGCAACGGGTTGCCGTCAACCGGACTCCCACACCTCCAGCTTGTGCAAATGTTTTTGCGCAGAAATGCAATCATATTCCGGACCAATGTGGCTCGTTCTTCGTCGCTACGGTTGGTCCACCCATTTCTCCAACCGCTATCAACCTTCGAGGCCACCTCTCGGACCAGCTCCACCGACACCTCCCTGGATGCGTCCAACAGCAATTTTTCCGGCACTCGCACGCACATCGGCAGCGGGATTGAGCCCAAGACGCCCACTTTGCAATACAGGCCGGCTGCCTGGTAAACCGTACTGTACCACTGCCCATTATGCAGTGCTAGGGACCGTTGGATTTTAGTGGGTATGTGCACAAATCCCAGGCGGTTCTTGAACCGTTCGGCTTGACTCGCTTTGACGAACAAGATAAAATCCTGGCCGCGCCTGAGATTATGGTTGGGTTAAATATAGTAATGACCTACCATCTCTCATAAACAGGTTGCCCATCGACATCTCGCCGTTCACTAAATAGCTTTATACTAGAGGTAGTGCGATGAGTAAATTTTTACAACACGCCCCAAACCAGCCCACTTTTCTAGCGGTCCGTAGAAATGCCAGATTTTTACGAATTAGGTATCTATCGAAAGCGCTCGGTAAGGCGAGACCAGCTTACCTGGTCGATCTTCAAAACACTGAAATTTTTTTGCGATTTACTCCGATTTTTGCGAATCTTTGGATTCGCGGGGGGGGGGGGGGGCCAAATTTTATTTCGGCACAGGCCTAAGTTTTTTTATAAATAGCGGCTGCGTTTCTAAATTGCTTTTAGTTATCCCTAAGGATAAAAACTACACAAATTTTACTCAAAAAATTAAATTTTATGTAGCAAAATCCTATAGAACCTTTAGGATACGCGGGGGGAAGGACCCAAAATGACCAAATTTCCGACGTTTTCAAATATTTTTCTAATTTTTTTTGAAAGTTTACTGCGTTGAATATAGTTAAAATTTACTAACAACAATGTAAAACACTTTATATTTGATTACTAGGTCAACCGGGACCGCCAGGAAAAAATTGGTGATTTGCGATAAAACGGAGTTATTAAAAAACGGTTTGAATAATCACGAAATTTCTGGTAAAAGCCTGCTGGCCAGAACCAACCTCTTGCATCGCACCTCAAACATCTCATATCCCTCGTTAAAATGATCCATCGACAATTTGCACCGCCAGAAGCGCGTCTTCTCGGGAGCCTTAACGGGGTAGATGCTCTTCTCCGGCAATCCCAATAATCTGGTCGTTCCGCTTGATTCCAGCGTCGTCGTGAAGAAGGCCATCGGAAAACCATACAGGTCTCCGTCGTAAAAAAGATCTGCAGCCGGTCTCCAGTCGATTTTGCGATAGGATGGGCAGGGGTTCTGGAACGGTAGTAATACCAAAAATCGAGGAGATAAATCGGATCCCTCGGATTCCTGTTCCAGCGATTTTCTAGAAAAACCTACGTCGGCCCCCTTCATCGTCACATGGCATCCGTATTGTATTAAGGCAAGGTCATTAAATCTCGGTGGTTCATTTGGATTCATTCGGTGGTCAATAGGCCTTTGGCTAAAAAAAACAAGTTTAAACAAAATAATATGAATATGAATAATAACGGAAAACAGCCGAGGCAAAAATCGAGCAACAGCCATCAAAACCGCGTAAAACCGCGCGAAACGGGTGGCGTCCAAATGTGTGATTCTTTGTGAGGGGGCAAGAAGACAAATGGGCCGGTATCTGGGGGTCAGATCTGGGACACCGCATCGCGAAAAGGAGGTTGCGCCCGTTCAATTAGACGTTGTTTTGAAATAAGGTACTCGGGTTCGAAAGCAAAGGAAAAGGTGAAGCCTCAAATTAAAAAAAATTTTAGCGGCCATTAACTGTCTATTCCGGATGAAAAAGAAATAAGGGGCCCGGGTTACTGCCACGCTATTTCGAAAATGAACCACACGGTCGCAGTTTGGAAACGCGGTCGTTGGAAACACTTAAAAATATACACACAACAAACAATTGAATAGACGTTTTTCGATTCCTTACAAGTTGTTAGTTTCGAAACTCAGAAATCGAAAAATTTCGTATACGGCCAACCGCTTCCTCCCAAAATTTTAAAAATTGAACACCAACGTAGCAAATTCTAAATTTTGCGAATGGGGAGGTCGCGTCCAGGGATGGTTGCTCTATCCGGCCGAAACATCGACCCACCTGACCGGAACATAATTAGGGGAGGGCACGATGCGTGTGGTCTACCTCCATTGTCGGGCCCAAATTTTCCGCTCGTAACCTTCAGCCAAGAGGTCGACAGGCATAAATACGATATACTACAGGACGTGTACGGCCAAACGGCAATGGTGAAAGAAAAGGGGAAGAACCTTTAGGACCCGTTTGTGTATTAGCAGTCGGATTAAAATGTTTTTTTTATGTCCAAATGCCTTTTCAAACGCGTCAATGCAAAGAAAAATTCATTCAGCACCTAAATCAATGAGAATCATAATGTTATGAAAAGCAAGGATGGATCAGGTAGATCAGAATAATGAGATAAATTCAATAGAATAAGAATAGCAAATTTTTCAATGGCAACGCATAATTTTACATCGTTTTCTGACCACTGTTGAGACCAATCCGTCTGCTTCGAGGATCACGCTGAAAATAATCGATTACTTTTTAGCCAAAGGATCGTCTAAACAGACACGGCACTTAGAAAAATTCGTTTTGGTAAATTTATCACTAAAGGGTCAAGGAAGTGCAAGAATCGACCCGCTCAGCCACTAGGCCTCGACAACTACTTTTTTGGACCAAAATGGTAAGAGATTTCATCTAATCTAGATTTCCTTCATGATACCGTTTAAGCCTGAAATGGCAAAGAAGTTAATACCATTTTACGATGCGCAAGTTTATACTACTTACGTCCGTGTTTCGGCCCGTTTCCTAACGGTGTCGCATTGATCACATGGACAATCACAAGGCCCGCAATCGCCATGGTTTGCATAGCTTTGTGCAAGCCGAACCATTTCCGGAACGAAAGTTTCGCGATGGAATTCCGATTCCAGGTTCTTTTCATCCGGTTGCAGCAGCCGCTCCGAGTACATCCAAATAAGACGTGCAACGTCTTTCACGATCTGAAAAACGCTTTTTATGTGATGGACATGAGGATCGAGCTAAATAGAATAATTGATTTTGGTAGGATTTTTGGTCCAAAAACTACATTTGCCTTTTAATCAAACTTTAGATGGTTTCTACCTTCATGAATACTCAGAAACAGCATAGAAATATTTCCGCTATACAGCGTGTTCCAAAAAAATCGACCCCCTCGAGCGGGCCACAGTCTTGTTCGATCTTGACGATTTGGGTATCCATCGAACCGTTTCGGAAAGACGAGCAAACAAGCGCTTTGTGTTTTCCACGATAGATATCTTAATTCACGAATTTTAGAGCCAAAAGTGATGATTTCATATAACGAAGGGCGCATTGTTTCTCGCCTCCTTGATACCTTTCGAATGATGTAAAAATCATCCAAATCTGAGCTTTCACTGGACCGCTAGAGGGGCTCGATTTTTTTGGGGCACCATGTATTAGAGGAAATCCGGTATTTGCGGCTTCCTCACCTGCAACGCATCTCTTTCCATCTTTTCTTCATCACTTTCTTGGTTTTGCTTACAGCTCCAGCTTTTGCAATGGTTCTGGCGTAGAAATTCAATTCTGTCCCCGACCATAGTCGCCAGATAGCGAGCGCTGCGACTCGTCCAGCCGGCCCGGAGAGGCAATTTTTTCTTGAGTTCCTGGATGATGTCCGTCGACACAGTCCGAGCTGCTTTTATCAGCAACTTTTCCGAGGCTCGAACACACATCGGCAGCCGGATGTCGCCCACCACACCAACTTTGCAGTAGCGATCTTTGATGCCGCGCGGGCGCCGCGCTTTAGTGGTGGCAAGAAGACATCGTTGGAATGGATAGATTGATTCGGGAAATAGGAAAATTGGATTAGATGCAAAACTGCTATTTTCGATAAAAATAATGCAATCACCGAGGGGGTAGAGCGGAAGGGGGGAAATAGTAGGAGAAAATGGAGCGGGAAAAGACTGACTATCTGACATTGAGAAATCCAGGTATTAGTGAAGTATTGGGGGGGGTGAGAGTTTAAAGGGGCAACCCGCAGGTCGATGAAGGGAATGGCTGGCTTGGCTTAGGCATATTTTAATGGGGCTTGGGAAGTTGTGGATTTTACGATTCAGAATCCTTTAAAAGGGGATAAGCTAAAATCGACCTTGAAAGTTCACTAGGTCTCGACAACTCCGAGGCGTTTGAAATTACGGGTTCGTAACTACATTTAAGAGCCGCATGACAACCGGTTGTTTGGAGTGTTGAGTAGCAATCGAGACCTGGCTCGCGGAAGGGTCGCTTTCCTGACTTTCCGGCCCCTTTAAAAAATCACAAGAATCGACTCCTCTGTTAACTAGGTCTCGACCAGTGTCGATTTTGAGCCTTCCCAGTTCCTTTAAAACCCAGAAGCCTAGCCATGATTTTGACACATTTTGCAAAAGTGAGGAATGGAAGGAGGTGTGAAAAGTGACAGACTGGCACGAACGGGGCATTGTGGAATTTATGCGTAGAAATTTTTGTGGAGATTTTAAAGGGTTGGTGAAGTGAGGAACCTTATGGATTTCTTTTCTTCATCACTTTCTTGGTTTTGCTTACAGCTCCAGCTTTTGCAATGGTTCTGGCGTAGAAATTCAATTCTGTCCCCGACCATAGTCGCCAGATAGCGAGCGCTGCGACTCGTCCAGCCGGCCCGGAGAGGCAATTTTTTCTTGAGTTCCTGGATGATGTCCGTCGACACAGTCCGAGCTGCTTTTATCAGCAACTTTTCCGAGGCTCGAACACACATCGGCAGCCGGATGTCGCCCACCACACCAACTTTGCAGTAGCGATCTTTGATGCCGCGATAGATATTGCTGTACCACACTCCATCGATTCGTGCCAATAATCGGTGCTTGAAATCGGGGATTGATCGAAATTCTGGGCGATCCCTGAAGCAGTCAGCGTCGTGTGATTTGACGAAAATGAGGAAGTCCTGGCCCAACCTGGAATTCATACAGATCCACGACAACTTTTAGCAACTAAAAAGGGTGTGAAAATCCCGAGGAATATCAGATCGTCTTGATTTTTTTGATTAATCGTTTCTGAAGAAAAATGGCCGGAAGTCGTCGTTAATCAGATGCAGAGGCCGTTCCTTAATCTTTTTACATGGCGTACATGCTTTCTAAAATGCCCTTTAAAATAAAATGGTGGGTATAAATATAGTTGAAAATTTGCCGCTTCAGGCGGGGTTGAATGGGGTAACTAACATGCCGATCCGATACTTCTACGTCGACTTAGAGGTGTGTTTTTTAATAGGGTCCTCTGTGTTCTTAAAATTTTCAAAATGGCGCTCCAAAAGATCGCTACACCGTTTTTAATGTTGGGGGGTGTTTGGGTATCACCCGGTATAAGATAAAAAAAATAAATCACATACCATCTTTCATAGCCAACCGGCGGTGCGGGGGTGGTGATATGACGCGACGATTCTCTGGCGCGTGTTTGACGTGCGTACGGAAGAGATTTGCTTCTGCTATAAATAATTTTAATCAATCTCTAGGTCTATACAAAAGTATAAATAAGTTAAGTTGTCCAGAAACTTAGAATCTACATGATGACCTCTGAAAACTGACCGTTTCTTGAACACCTCAAACATCTCGTATCCCTCGTTGAATTGCTCCATTGGCAATTTGCAGCGCCAATGGACACTGTTTAAGGGCGCCTTACAGGGGTAGATACTCGATTCCGGTAGCCCCGGTTTTCCGGTCTTTTTGTTAATTTCGAGGCTTGTAGTGAAGAAGGCCATCGGGTAGCCGAAAACTGGCCCGTCAAAATGCGGATTGGCAGCCAGTCTCCATTCGAGTTTGTAGTAGGACGGGCAGGGCTTCTAAATTCTTGTATTGATCAGGAAAGAGAAAAAAGTAACTCAGGTTCTAGTTGTTAAATCATCGTATAGAGTGTCCCAAACAATCGACTCGCTCTAGCGGGCCCGAGAGAGCTTGAATCCGGACGATTTTTGTACCATTTAGAAGCGATGAGGCAAAAAAGCAAGCACTTTCGGTTTTCAAAACTTTTCACTTTTCAAGATTGAACGGTTTTAAAAGTTCCTGGCTGTTAGCTGGAGATCAGCAATTAACACGATTTCGCATAGATGGAGACTTTGGTCGGAAAATTCTTGAATTAGAATGCCGAAATTAAAAAAAAACGAAGCTCTTGTTTTCTCGCTTTCGCTTCAGTTTTCTAATTTTTTTTCCAAATCGTCAGCATCGGAAGATTTTCCGGTCCGCTAGAACGGGGTCGATTTTCTTTTGGGACACCTTGTCCAGAATGATTTTAATTTGGGCCTCGCAGTCATAATGAATCTATTGATTGTTTATTGACTCTTGAAACTAACAGAGCAAATGAAAAATCTACAGGGCTCAATGGTAGTTGCTTATCGGAGCGACATCAAAAACTGCAACTTACGCCTGCAACGACGCTGGTCACGTGGCATCCATATTCAATGGGATTGTCGGGTAGGTCGTGTCCATCGTCAACAACCATCTAGAGCGAAAGAGTTTCTAGCCCAAAGATAAATAGCGTAAGTAATGAGGAGGAGACTGTATTCAGGTAGAAATAAAGCACTGCTAAGCCCAGCGGGCTTTTTTCAGCGCAGAAGCATAAGAAAAGTACGCGTGTTTGCGCTTTGTATAAAAAAATTGGTGATTGGGAGAAGAATAAGAAGCTGGAAATCCTTGGATTGAGTCCTAATTTGGATGGAATAAAACCATAGCTAGTCTAGCGCCGAGCGTAGGCACCGAAATGTGCGATCGCATGCCTGGCAGAAGCGGAACCAGGGTTCCAGATCTAGAGACCGGATCTGAAACGTTGCAAAAAATGGGCACCAAGGTTACGCGAATGGATGATACATCAAATAGGGCCACCGCGAGTCAAATGTCGCATTTTAAAGACCCTGTATTTGAAGTTTTGCAAACTTTCAAAGCAATCAGCTCCGTTGCGCCGGCCCATTCAAAGCCAATTGTCTTTCGTTACTTTTGACTCAAACGTAATATATTGTTGCTCTAGAGATCAAGGCAAACATTATGGTATATTGCGCATCACTATAGCACAAAGCTGAGCTGAGATATAAAGGCTGCGTCGGCCTCGCGAAAGTATTCCGGGTCACTTCCAAAAAGCTGATGATGCCAGTTATTGTAATGAATGGGCCAAAGAGCCTCGTACAGTTTGGTGGGCTGCCTGTTTGTGTCGAGAGCCAGAGGGAGAGAGAGAGAAGAGAGAGCGAGACAGATAGACAAAGAGAGAGAGAGAGAGAGAGAGAGAGAGAGAGAGAGAGAGAGAGAGAGAGTGAGGGGAGGGGCAGCACGGATGCCGGTGGTTGACCTCTAAATTGCTACCAACTCTATTGTCGGGGCAGCAACCGCCGTCCCAATTTCAATTCAGGGCACTGAGGGCCGTTTCGATCAAAGTTCGCTCACGCGAATAATTGCGAGATGAAATCTCAGGGAAAGGGGCTCGCAAGAGTGGTCCATCCTTTGTCAAGCGTCTCATGAGGCAGAGATCCGCCCCACTCCCCGAGGAGTAACAAGGGCAGATCAAGACGGGCCAGCTGGGGGGATCTCCAGCTGGGGGCCGGCTAATAATCGGTTTATTGCGCATGCTAGTCCTGTTACCGGCATGGGTTTTGAAGCACCCGACGGGAAAGATCCAAGAATTTTTTTATGGTGGCAGCCCTTGACTTTTTATAGGAGCTCTGGCAACACTGGCCAATACAGCGGGTCGGCGTGGGGCAGAGACGCAGGTTACTGTCTGCGTCTGTCCCTTGGGCGTGCTCTTTCTTTCTCTTCCGCGGCGACGCCCCCGACCGCAACGTTTCCGCGACGCATGCAAAACCCCTCAGGGGTCCAATTTGAAGCTTTTTTTATTAGAATTTAATATAATTATTGCAAACATTCGCTTTTGTGGGCAAACCCACTTTTTCCCTATCTTTTTTCTGATGACATAAGACTCCTACTTGCGCTCATCCTTGGTATTTTTCGATCGAATATTGCCACTTACAGGGCATGACATTTTTTTTAAATAAATGGGACACCCTGTACAATGGGGATCGAGTTGGGGCTCCCCGGTTGTAGGTCATCGGGACAGGGAGCCGATATCGTGGGCCCCTTTGGCCACCCTGTTTAGCCCAACAGGCGTGCCCCTCCCCCGCGTCCAGCCCACCCACAGCCTAGGGAATGTAGCGTGGGAATAAGCACATATGGATTGATATCCTGCTCACTTGGCAACTAATGGCTAGGATCATTCAAAACTTATCTCCATACCTCACCTCATTTTCAATCGAAACATCAAATTTTTTTGTTTGGTTTTTCGGCAAGGCTTTACTTCAACCCGAAGCTTCAAATGAAATGCCTAAATTTTCGATATTTCGCAACCTTTTCGGGGATTGTTTGACACCATTCTTAGAGCGTGGAAAAATATTCTAAGTGCACCAATTACAACCAAAAATAACGTAAGAATAAATAGTTTTAGAAAAAAACTAAATTTATCTACGAAAATGCGTTGCCCTGTAAGGTCAGTCTTTCAGTATTTTCGAAAGTCTTGCACTTTGGGCCCAATAACTCGTTTTGAAGCACCCTCGATTTGAACGGGAACACCCTCTTCTTCCGCTTCCAGATTTGACCTCCAGATACCGGCCCATTTGTCAACTTCACATCCCGAAAAAACCACAAATCTTGGCGCCTCCGGCCGGGTCTCGTCAATCCGTCCTAAGTCCTTTCATTTTTTTGCTCTATCTTTGGTATACTTTATGTATAAATCTTGATTTTTTTAGCAATTACAAAGCTTTCTGAATGATACAACTACCACCGATGTGTCACCCCATCCAATATGGATGCCATGTGACGAACATTAGTGCACACGTAAGTAGTTTTGAAGAATGAAATAATGTATTTCGCTTAATATTTCATAAATATCTGTTATATAATACGGTATTTTGTAAGAAATACAAATTTCTAAAACTTCTTTTTTAAGATTACTTGCCAATAATAGAAAGAGAATCTCAAAAACTATAATTCTGTCCGTTTTTTAGGATTTCGTAAATATCAAAAGCCTATCGAATTTTACATTTTGGCAGACACCCTCAAAATCGCTAAGAAAGGCGATGGAATAGATTTTTCTCATTTTCTAAGTGCTAAAATTATTTCCCCATTTTTGCATTTTCGTGCAGAAGTTACATAGTTTTTCCAAAAAACTTAATTTAGCGGTTTAAACGCCCTTCAAGCTGGATTTTCTTAACTGGTTTTCGAAACGCTTCACAAGACTTTTAGAAAACCTTTTTTTTCGGAAAAGCACGCAAATTACAGTTCTTTTCTGCACGTTCTAACAAAAAAAAAAATGAAAATTGATTTTTAGGAAGCCTGCCCATCGTTCCACCAAATCCAGTGGAGACCGGCGGCCGATAATCGCTATGATGGTGTTCTTTGCGGCTATCCGATGGCCTTCTTCACGACATCGCTCGCATTTAAATGGCCGTATAATGAAGTGGGGCTACCAGAAAAGAGTATCTATCCCTGGAATTCACCCGACGACACTCGCCATTGGCGCTGCAAGATACCAATGGAACGCTTTAATGAGGGATATCACATGTTTGAAGTCCGGCCGGAGACGTAAGTCAATTTATCGCTTCTGGATGGCAAAAAAATTCCGTCATTTCTAAATGTTAAGTAGTTCTTTTCCATTATCGGGGGGTGGAAGGATGCTATAGATCGCAAAAAGAACTAGTAAATCAATAGTAATTAATTTTATTGATAGTTTTTACGTTCTCTGAGCTGTATTTTAAACTAGAAACCGTCTAAGAGCTTTCAAAACTCTTAAAGATTCGAAACTTGCCCAAAAAAGCCCATTTTTGGTCGAATAAGCTATATTTATTTTGGATCAATTTTTCATTTGCATGTTCCCCCCCCCGGTAATGCCAAAGTACCTGGAAAGCAAAAAACTTCGGGATGGTGCCCGACCGGCTGATGTGAAAATTCCGTTTCAGTTTTATCTCCTCAAAACTCAAAAATGTTGCCTTTTCAGAGCGGGGCAGGCCTTCATACTACTCGTCAAGTCCCAAGAAGCCCACCGATTTCAAGGCCGTGAGGGTGTATTCCCGCCCTGCCCGGATTTCCTTCATAGATCACTTGGCCGAATTAATGGGGAATGGTACAGTACCGTCTACAGGAGCAGGGAAGAGGGCGATCTTTACTGCAAGGTTGGAGTGATCGGCTCGATCCCGCTGCCGATCTGTGTGCGAGCGTCGAAAAGCCTTCTGGCGGATGCGGCAGCGCTCGTTACCCCTGAACTGCTCGCAAAGGTCTTGAGGCCAGGCTATAAGCGCGGCTGGTCCGACCAGGACGCAGTTGGGCTGGTTCGAAAAAGATTCGAGTTCCTGAGCCGAAACCGCTGCTCAAGTTGGAGATGTTCGGAACCGAATCTTGAAGATCCGTTACAGGTATAAAAATTTTAGCCATTAATGCAAGCGTTTTCTAGCTAGCTAATGACATCATCGAGCTCGTTTGGAAGTACTCGGAATGGCTGGTCGGGTCGGATCAGTTTGTTGAGTCCAGTGCATTCTACCGCGAGAGATTCACGCCAAAGATGATCCAGATTGTGCATTGCAAGGCGACACACGGAACGCCGGCTATTGCTTGCAATTGCAGTTGCGAGCATTGGGACGTCGTTGGGAAGATACATGGAGAATTTCGGTGAGAATTGACTACAGTCCCTAGTTTATGAATAAAGTTAATGTAGAAACCAAGCCAGTTTCAGCTCACAAAAGCGGTCAGATCCCCCCATAAACCATAAACCCTAGCATAAATCCAAATAAACTTCATTCAGGGACGTTTTCGACGAGGACGCCATCATCACGACTATCCTTGATAGATTCGAGTGCGGCCCCCCTTATTTATTTATAAAATTATTAATTAAAAAATTTTTTTTAAATTATTTTTTTTTAAAATATTTTTTTTTTAATTTTTTTTTTTAAAAATTTTTTAATTTTTAATTATTTTTTTTTTATTTTTTTTAGTTTTTTTTAAAAATTTTGAAATACAATTTTTAAATAATTTTTTATTTAATTTAAAAAAACCCTTGAATGTACTCTTCCCGGTGAACCCAGCCCCGTGGTAATTTTAACGCCGTAAAAAATCTAAAGCGCACATTTAGATCTCGTCTATTTCACTGCCACTTTACCTCAACGACACTTGCCCAAACAAGGAAAAACCATTGCTCTAGCCTGCGTTGTGAAATTGTATAAGTTGATTACTACATAACAAAAAAGAGTATGGAATACACATCAAAGCAACAAGTCGTTTGGAAATATCACAATTGTATAAAAATTTACGCTTTTAAAATCGATGCCATTTAAATGTTTTTCAAGATAAACCACTATTTTAGTTGCTTTAGTTGAGAGCATAGGTATCACAAAAAACAGGATGCGAATAGAATAATAGCTTAACCAATAATATTAATAATATTGATGAATACTTTAGAGGTGGCAAGGAAAAAAATGTTGATAGATCGATTCGGGAAATAGGAAAATTCGATTAGGACAGAAAAATATCCACTTTTCGTCAAGATAATGCGATCACCGAGGGAGTAGAGCGGAAAGGAGGGACAATAGTATGAAAATCGAAGCGGAAAGAGACTGACTATTTAACATCTGTGAAGAGGACTTTTGATGAGTTATGGGGACTTCAAGGGTGTCAAAATAAAGCTCTCGGAGTGCGCTATCAAACCAGTTGTAAGAATCGCGATCTGTTGAGCTAGCCGTCAGTAGGAGCGTTGGGAAAATCCGTACTTGGACTCGCCGTCTCGCCGCAACACACCTTTGCCTCTACAACAGACGTTCTATTTCCGACGACTCGTACCTTGCCACTTCATACTGTACCCATGCAAATATTTTTTCGTGATCCCGCTTGGGCATTGCTGTTTTTGAATAAAAGGCGCAAACTGTCCATAAAAAGTGTCCACTGATTTGTCAAATTGATGTACCAAAACAGAGGATTGTCTCGATGTGTCTTTTTTTAAATGAATCCGGTTCTCTCTCTCGCCCGCTCTCTCGCCCGCGCCGTGAAATCGCACCGCTTCTTTAGCTTTCAACGCCCCCGACTTTACACTGCAAAAAGTATCGTTTCCTCCCGCCGAGCCCTGCTGATCGCCTCTTTGAAGTTTCGCGAATAAAGAAAATTCGGAGACATAAAAGGGGGACCTGTAATCTCAATACATTGCTTTGGAAATTTGTCTCTTTATAACCGGTCTCCAACGGAGCCCGCTACACTCGAGATGCTTCTGAAAATCGCTGTCCTACTGTGCGTCCTCGGCTTACTCGCAACGCCCAGCTTGGCAAAAGTAAAAATAGTTTTTAATGTGCGGAATGCAATCACACGCTTAATCTCTAATTGATCGCACGCCTCTAATTGGTCTTAAGTAGCCTATCTGATAAAGATTTTTTCTGATTTGAATGGTATATTTCATTAAGGTAGGCTTCGTCTATCCGACGTTTTACAGCGGTTTGAAGTAGGCTATTTTTCACTTTTCCCATACAAAAACGGGTCCATGCCCTGTATCGTCAATTTTTCCAATTTTCGAAATGTCGAAAATTTTGAGTTAAAGGGCCCGTTCGAAAGAGAAAATTTATCTGAATTCGTTTGCGAGATTCATTTTTGCAAAATCGGCCGGGAAACGAAAGATAATCGAGCTCAAAGTGACGATTTTGACTAAAGGCTCAGTCTAAAAGTGGCGTAGCTCGAGTTTTAAAGTTCAATAGCAAATTTGGATAACAAGTTTTCAATGCAAATATTCAGCCAATATCGGTCCGGGTTTATTCCGGCTCCTCATAGTTTTAGGTTTTAGGCTCCTCATTTAGGCTTATGTTTACGTCTAAACCTAGGCTTGAAACATTGTTTTCAGGAACCTGAATGCACGGCCGTTGAGATGTGCGGCATTGCTGGATGCCCTGATGGCAAAGAGTGCGTATGCTACGGAAAACATTCGATTTGCATGCGCACGAAGGTAAAAAAGCCCGCCGAGCCTTTGATGCGAAAAGGGTATTTTCAGCCGCGCGGACGGCGCCAGGCACTTGGATGGGTCCCGCAAGTGTAGAACTCGACCACATAAATATGCATCGTGAAAATATCTGAGACTACACATAAAGCACCGAAAAACGCAGAAACAAGGGACTGCTTGTTGAGACTGAGGTGGCCGGGAGGAACCTAGAAGTTATAACGTCTTCTCCAAGCTCCTTCGTTTTCCAACAAATTTAAAAATGGCTTCCAGAAAAATTGAATTTACTACTGATTTTTAAAACACGAGATAATCACGTTTTTGCATCGAATTTTCAGATTGTTCGAAACCATTTGTTATATCAAATGGACCATTTCGCTCCGGAAAACCCCATATCCCCGAAAAACGAACACTTGGAGACGAAGTTCGGCACAAGAGCGAGTGCAAAGCTCAAAAAAACACCTGTGTTTTCAGGCGTTCCCAAACGGTAAGCTAGTCCAAAGCGACCATATTACAGGGATGTTTTCGACCAGGACGCCATGGTCACAACCATTTTTGAAAAATACCGGTACTTTCTCCTTGAGCGAAACCTGAACCAAGGTAATTTCAACTACGGAAATGAAAACCTAGAGCGTAAATTTAGATATCACTTACCGCACTCCCACCCTACCTCAACGATACCTGCCCAAAAGAACCTAAACCTTGTCTGCGTTGTGAAATTGTATAACTTGATTACTTAATAATGCATCATACGCGCATCAAATGAAAAAGCATTTTTAAATTATTAGGTTGTATACAGGGTGTCCTAATAAAAAACACCCGCCCCCCTCCCTTAACTCGACGCAGAAGTGTCGGATCGGATCGATCGTTATACCATTCGAAAGCCCTTGAAACGGCGAGTTTGCAGCATTTTGAGAACTATGTTTTTATGTAAGCACGCTATCTTACAACGCAGTTAAAAACGTGAAGGAACGGTCTCTGCATCTAATTAATGGCCACTTCCGGCCATTTTGTATGGAGACTTTTAGGCAAATTAGCTTGAATGCAGCCCGGAAAAGCGGTAAAATGTTAGAAAATGGCTTGTGAAATGGCGCTTTTAGATAAAAACACGGTTTTGAAAGTTTTTGCAAGCTCGCCGTTTCAAGGGCTCTCGCTCATCCTATTCCCCGAAACAAGCTACTCGACGCAGAAGTAGCGGATCATTCCGATCCGATACTTCTGCGTCGAGTTCGATGGGGGTGTTTTTTATTGGGACACCCGGTATAAATGACGCTTGTTCAAACCAATGCTTTAAATGTATTTTCTACAGCCAGAAAAATTGATATTTTAGTAGCTTTATTTGAGAGCATAGGTATCACAAAAAACGGGACGCGAATAGAATAATAGCTTAACAAATAATATTAATAATATGGATAGAAATCATACTTTAGTGGTGGCAAGAAGTCATCGTTGGAATTGATAGATTGATTCGGGAAATAGGAAAATTGGATCTGATGCAAAACTGCTGTTTTCGATAAAATAATGCAATCACCGAGGGGGTAGAGCGGAAGGGGGAATAGTAGGAGAAAATGGAGCGGGAAAAGACTGACTATCTGACATTGAGAAATCCAGGTATTAGTGAAGTATAAAGGGGGGGGGGCGGCGAGAGTTTAAGGGGACAACCCGCAGGTCGATGAAGGGAATGGCTGGCTTGGCTTAGGTATATCTTAATGGGGCTCGGGAAGTTGTGGATTCTACAATTCTGAATCCTTTTAAAGGGGATACGCTAAAATCGACCTTGAAAGTTCACTAGGTCTCGACAACTCTGAGGCGCTTGAAATTACGGGTTCGTAACTGAATTTAAGAGCCGTGGGACAACCGGTTGTTTGGAGTGTTGAGTGGCAATCGAGACCAGGCTCGGAAGGGTCGCTTTCCTGACTTTCGAACCCCTTTAAAAAATCACAAGAATCAACTCCTTTGTTAACTAGGTCTTGACCAGTGTCGATTTTGAGCCTTCCCAGTTCCTTTAAAACCCAGAAGCCCAGCCATGATTTTGACACATTTTGCAAAAGTGAGGAATGGAAGGAGGTGTGAAAAGTGACAGACTGGCACGAACGGGGCATTGCGGAATTGATGCGTAGAAATTTTTGTGGAGATTTTAAAGGGTTAGTGAAGTGAGGCCCTTATGGATTTCGAGAAAATTCATCCTGACTTCACTAGCCCTTTAGAGCCTCAAGTATGATCCCGAAATTTTGATTTTCGAGGCAATTGCGGGGAGGTAAGAATCCAGAATTCTTCATATTCGTAATGGCAGCTGAAAGGCCTGAGTAGTGGTTAAAACGGCGGGTGCCAAGAGGTGTGCTTCGTAGGTGTACGATTTACAGCACTCTCCAGATCGTCAGCAGGGGGCCGAAGAAGATGAACAACTGGCTCGAAGAGGCGGTGGGCACTGAAAAAATTGTATAAAGAGAGAGAGAGAGAGAGAGAGAGAGAGAGGAAGAAATAAAAACTAGAACGTACCGCTGTCGTCACCAGGAACCTCGATGGTCTGGAACTTCCTGGCCATCGATCCCCATCCCATGGCATTCCGAGCCTCGACTTGCACCTCATAGGTTTTTCCCTTCTGGAGGAACGTAGCGAGGTCGACGGATGAGGAGTACTCATCCGAACCAGTGCGGTCTTCTGAAAAAAAAAAATTGACTGTATCGATGCAAAAATCAGGTCGTAGCGCTCCGACAATTCGGACAAAAATTCTAACCATACGTTGATTTCAGAATTTACAGTACGACCTTATAAGTACTATCACGTACTCTTATCAGCCGACACCGTGTGCTTTCCGTTGAAGATGTCGTGCGAGCGGAGACGGAATTTGACAGCGTACTCGATGATCGGGGAACGGGAACGCACTGACCACTTCAGGACAGAGCCGGCGACGTCAAGCTCGGGAGGGCCGGGTTTACCTGGAAAATGGATTGAAAATCTTATGCTCTCTCATTGTTGCTCATCTCCTTCTCTCTCTCTCTCTCTCTCTCTCTCTCTCTCTTTCTCTCGCTCTCTTTCTTTCTCTCGCTCTATCACTCTTTTTCTCTCTTTGTCTCTCTCTTTCTCTCCCTCTATCTCTCTATATCTCTCGCCCTCTCTTTTCTCTAGCTTTTCCGAACTTTAGATTTTCAAATTCTAATGTTGTTATTCATAATCCGCCAACCATCCCCCTTTATCCAATTCCCGGCCGCCAGCCGCGCAATGTTTCTACCCTAACCCTAGAAAGGGGCAGCTGGGGGACACCTGGACAGAAAGACATTTCGGGGATGGATGGACCGACACAGACAGACAGACAAACACACAGGCTGACACACTGGGAAACAATGCCTCCTGCCTTCCCGCCCTTGTCCGCCCCTTAACCAATAAAGCGGTGGGGAGCATCTTTATCCCCCCTTGAATATATTCGTTGCATGGTAAACAAACTTATACAGAAATCAGATACGTGAATTTTGACTAGGTTTTCTATCACAATTCAAGACATACGCTTCAGAAGGTTTTGTATTTAAAGGATTTTGGGTGCCAAGGTCGACACTTTCGCACTGCTAGGTCTCGACTAGGAACAAACTACAAGTTTCTACTCAAGATATTGGTTGTCGCGGTACCTTTAAATGGACAAGTAAGTCCCGAAATCCACCCTTTTGATTCGTTAGATCTCGACAAACGATAACTTTGTATGCAAATTTTCGCAGGCGAAAACCCACCAGAAACATGAATAACAGCCCTAGCGGTGCCCAAATTGTTCGACGCCTGGCAGATGTAGTCGCCGAAAACATCCTGGTTCATGCGGTGCAGCTGCAAAAACATGAATCAAATCCCAAAAAAAAAGTGATACCTCAAGGGTGGTCCGCGTGTAATTCTGCTCGCGTTGCTCCCACTCCTTCGCGTCCATAAATTTCTCGTCGTTCAGCTAAAAAAATGTACTTCATGCTGAACGCCAAATATCTTAGATATTTCTGAGTGGCATAGAACGCACCTTAACCCTGTATCCATTGTAGTACCACTCAAGGTTGGGCGGCGGGTTCCCGTCAAAAGTGCAGGAGATGTTGGTCGAGTCCAGGTACCCGACAGGAATATAGCCCTCCTCGGTGCGCACCCACGGTTTTACTATAGAGAGATGGTTACTACCCTCGGGATTAATTGTTGTATATTCTTACTTCAGAAAATCGCTAAATTTCATGAACTTCCGCAAAATTTCAGTTTGAAAAGCCGAAAAGAAACAGTTTTTAATTGACATTAAAATTTTTTTTGTTTAGTATGGGTAAGAACTCCACTACGTTACCCTCCAAATCACGACGCCACAATATGCAAAACTTACCACCGGCTCCCGAGATCGCATTGTTGGGCCCTGAAAAAAACGAGCGGGTTAGAGAAATGCAAACCATGCGTTGAATATACCGATTTTCATATTGTAATCGATACTAAGTTATGAACGAATCAATTTAACCAAATTCAACATCTAACTGAGGACGCTTGTAAAAGTCGACAGCTTTCGAAAAAAATATTGGCAAAACCATGTTCGAATTTTTAGTATGGTAATTTTAGTAATTTTCATAGAGGGTTTTTTGCACAAATTTAATCACTCGATGCGATGAGAACATTTAGGTTTGTTTAGAAGTAGGCTAATCAGGTTAGCAATCCAGCAAAATTTACCGTTGACTTTGACGTCGATCGACTTCCACTTCTCGCCAATCTTATTCCGGGCCGTGCAGATGTAGACGCCCTGGTGGGCGGAATCAGCAACAAAGGACAGGGTTCCGTCGGTCCGCTGAATGACGTCCTCTTCCAGCTGACCGGCCTGAAAATGTAATTTTTGGATGTCCAAGAAATCATTTATACAAAACTAGAGCCAACAAAATCTAAATCATCAAGTTATGCCTTCCTGGTCCCTTTAAATCCCCAGGTTCCGGTCCTAACCGCCCTATGATATCCACCTGGATCTACTGCGCACTTCCCAACACGGTTCGATCCGCTCGGAGGTCATAAAGAGGATCGTGACGGACAATAACGACGATCCCCACCTATCCGCCTATCCCACCAATATATGGGTTTATACCCCGTCATTTGCAACAACAGGAGGTGGATATCGATCTTTCGATTTTTCTAGCTTGCTATCCTTGCTTTAGCTTCGAAAAAATTGCTTGAAAAATTTGAACTGCTCGAAAAACACCTGGGCCAAGATCTCGAAGCTGATCAGTTTGAAAACCTCGGAAAACTGACCTTCTTCGTCCAGAACACCACCGGCTTCGGGTTGCCGGAAGCCAAGCAGCGCAGCAGCACGGACTCTCCCTTGCGGACCGTGTACTCGCTGGCGTCGGGGGTGATCACCACCGAGGGCGCCGCTAGAACATTGAGATAGATAGAGATAGAGAGAGATAGAGAGAGAGCGAGCGAGAGAGAGAGAGTGAGAGCAGAGAAAGACGGAGAAGGAGGTTGAGAGGAAACCAGACGAGCACGAGAACGAGAATGAGAAGAGTGAGAGAGACAGCAGACAAAAAATTCATATCCTTAAAAAAACTCACAAACAACAACAACTTCATGAGTCACACTAATATCAGACCCCAGCAGCATGCAGGTGAACTTCTTCGAGTACTGCGGCTCGACTTGGGTGATCACGAGAGTGGAGCGCTAAAAAGTATATGATTTTCTGGCTTCAGCTAGTCCTTCAACGTGTAAATAATCGCTTACATCGCTCTCCTTCCTGACCTCCAGCTTGGGGTCGTTGTTCAAAATATCTTCATCCAAAGCCAGGGTCTCGCCGCCAGATACCCAATTTACGGCTTCATCGTCTAAAAAATCAATGATGATTCAAATAAACCGATTTAAAAATCAAAATTTATTTATTTGTGCGTAGAAACCAGTTCAAAATATGCCGACAAGTTTTTTGCCATAGAAAATTTTGATTTTTGCTTTCACAAGTCCTTTAAACTGTCAGATCCAGCTTTTTAAGGTGGTATATTATTTACTGTTTCTTATCAGCTTAATTTAAATGAAAAATCATACCAAGAGCACTGCTAAAAGCACAGGGCAACTCGACCGGCCTGCCCTCCATCACTTCGAATTTTCGCCCCTTGGTCACCATCTGAAGCTCTTGGGCCAATAGGGGGCCAATAAGGGCCAGAGCTGTCACTAGCCACCGCATTTCTGGAAAGGTATCGATGATGCCTATTACGTTCAAAAAGGCCCACAAGCATTGAAGAAAAACATGAGAACAAGGAAGCTCGAAAAGAAGCAAAGGCGATGCGGTACCTCGAAAATTCTAAAGGGATGGTTACAGCAAAATTGGTGAAAATTTCAATGGTTTGTGAATTTTATAAAGCAGAACAAACAATAAACCAAGTACTAAATGCTAAATTTAAGCTTAAAAATTCCAAATTTCTGAAATTTCAGATGCAAATCGGTTAATGACGGGCTCTCTCGCATTTTAAGAAGGGTAGAGAGAGAGGACGAGAGAGAAAAAGAGCGAGAGTTAAAGAGAGTGAAACAGGGAGAGCGTGTGAGAAAGAGGTAGAGAGAGAGAGAGAGAGAGAGAGAGAGAGAGAGAAATATCGATTTTCCGACTTTCAGCGGTTTTAGTCTTGTAGTAAGTTTTCTGCAAAAATATCGATAAGTTTCATATATCTTTTTCCAGCCCACAGTATCATTTTCCAGCCTGCAAACATGGAACGCCCAGGAAATATTCGGAACGGCTTGACAGCATTGCCCGGGCGCGCAATAAAAAAGTACAAAGCGTTGTCCACTCGCGTAATAATACCATTCGCCCGACCAAAAAGGCCCGCTGAATGGCCCAGGGTTGAAATTTGAGACTGGGAACGCCCGCACAGCCGTTTTTGCGCCGGAAAAAAATAATTTACCAATTTTTTTTGGAGGTGCCAGCTGGTGATGATGATGAGGCGAGTAATGTTTACAAATGACTAGCCTGTTTTTGAGGGGGAATGTACGATTTCGGGGAAAATGATGAGTGGATTGGGGTGGGAATGAAATGGATGTGATTCAGGGAATATGAAATAGCGGGCGGTGGCTTAGAATTTATGAGGAGTCGTGGTTGACGTTTGGAAGTTTACCCAAAATATTCGGATTTTAAATAATAGGATTTAAGGAAATTAGGTCACGTGAAAATCGACCCGCTTCAACAGCTAGGTCCAGACAACTGCGCCACCTGATAAAACGCGCGAGAATATTTTAGATTTTTTTCTACAATGTCATCTTTAAAGCCGCACAAATAAAGCTGACCGCTTTTGAAAAATCTCGGATTTGTCGACACCTAGTTACTGAAAAGCTAGAATTTTGCGCTTCGAAGCTCCTTTAAAGGTGCGGGAAAAGCGAGTATTTACTTCGCCGGGTTTTTTCGATGGGTTTGCCAGACCGGCGGTAACTCCGTAAAAAAGCTATACTCTAATCCATTACGCCAGGGAATGTGTCTTTTTTAAACACAGGTTTAGAAAATTTGAGAAGAAATTGTGCAAAAAATGTGTTGAAAATATATGAATACGTTGAAAAATGGGCTTTCCAATGATCGGGCTTACTGATTCAAATATTTTTTCTAAAAAAAATTATAATGTTTTCGGATATTTGAATGGGCAAAAAAGCGTTCGAAACGAAACACCGACCCTCCAGAAGTGACAATATTTTCGGTCGTGCTTTCCTCAGGGTAGACGGAGGGCGGAGTTTTTGCGGCGGCGCACGGTTTTTTTGATGGGTACAGGGTGAGGGGAGAGGGACCAGCTGCACTTTCCCCTTGAAAGGCCATTCCGACCCGATCCGGTGGACACAGACTGTCCATAGGATGCGGTCGGAATTAGGGTGAATCACAAAGCGCCGAGTCGAATGGCAGCTCGAAATTGGGCTGGGATAATGATCTTATCGTCGATTTCCGGAAAGTGCAACGCACTTTTGGCTAAATTCGGATGCTTCAAGGGGAGCTGAGGTCGTCAAAAGTACACACAACAAAAATGACTCTCTGGCCCTAGATGTTGGTCATCTTTTGTTTGGGGGGAGGGGGGCATCAATTGGCCCCGGCCAGCCGTTTCCGCTAATGACCCTTGCATGCTCTTTTTGGGGGCGGAATGCAAAGAAAGACTCGAATTTGTCTGACCTGAATTAGACCTACCCGGGCGGTGGGTTTTTGGCTTGTTTTAGCAAATAAAAAAGTAGCAACGTAAAGCGGGAATTCTTAGGAACATTAGAGCAAAATAGCGATCCAAGAATACTAAATATTTCGATTATTTAAAGACTGGAAACTCAGTTAAGTCCCGAAACCTTTTATCTTGGTTTTCATGCTTTGAGCCAAGAAAAGCTTAACAAATTTTCGAGTAATGGAAAACAAAAAAATAAAAATCATTAACGTCCAATTTAAGCCGATTTAACTGAATATAGATAGCAATCTTCGAGATTTTCCTCAGAACTAAGGAGTCATCTGCCCCTGGACTAGTTCATCACCAACCCTCGATTCTATTAAATTAGCCGAGAATCGGGGGTTGATTGCGCGAAACAATGATGGGGAGAGACAACACCCAACCTATAATTAAGGCGAGGCAGGGGTTGGCTAGGATTTTGGGGATGAGGGAGTGGGATACAGGAAGATAGTATAAAGACGGAAGAGCGTCAAGCGTATAAAACGGACAAATTCACATCATGAACGTAAGAAAAATGCCAGAAATTTTCACCGGAATTCAGGAAAAACGCATTTTGAATCGATCTTTCACCGAAATCTTTCGATTTTCTAATTCGGCCTTATAGATTTTTGCCTTCAGGTAGCTTTAGGTGAAGAATGGCGACAAACAACAGTTGGTATTTAAAAAAGGAAAACGCAAAATCGAATAAAAACATCAAAAAAAAATTGAGGATTGCGAGGAAAATTACGAAACACCGAATTTTGGTTTTTGAAAGTTTTTATAGATTTTTGTCTTCTTGGTACCTTTAAAAACATTAGCACAAGGAATAATGCGCCAAAAAATAAAGAAGCGGTTGCAAAAGCAGTTAAAATTGCTACAGTGACAAAATCTAGGGCTGTCTACTCAAATTTTTGACCAAAAGTTTATGGACTTTGCCTACAAGTACCTTTAGAAAGCTACAAAATAATACTAGTGTTTTCAGGCGTGTTTTGGAGCCTATTGTACGCCCCCCAAATACGGTATGACTGTCTAGGAGTTGGTGGTGGTGGCAGATAGCCAGATGGATCCATTGCTCATTCTCCCGGTCTCTCCCCGTATACACCATCTGTCCTTTCACCCCTCCCTGGATGCTATATATCGCCCCTTTAGCCCGGGCAATTGCATAAAAGTCATAAAGACACACACACACGCGCAATCGGGTGGCCTATGAAAACAAACCCAAATTTGGCTTTTTGCCGGCTTCGCCGAACCTTTAAAGGGCCTGGAAAAGGTCAGAATCTGCCTCTCTCCTGGACTAGGTCCGACAGCTACGCTGGGTTCCAAATCAAGCGCGAAAGCGCAGCTATTCTGACTCCAATTTCGGATTGTCGGGGCCTTTAAAAACGGTAATTAACCTATCATTTGGTGCATTGTGCGTTTGTCTGGACCTAGTCGGTCCGAAAGGTCGATTTTTGCGCTTGATGGTTTCTTTAAAGGTATCGGCTAGGCAAAAGTATGGATTCAATTGGCTATGCATTCCCGCGTTACTTAGCTGCGACGCAACGCAGGCTAGCCATTCCATTGCGTCACTGCGCGGCGTGCGGGTCGCAGACGCGGAAACCTTTATATGGAATCCAGAGCCTGCGAAATCTATAGCCATGCCTAGCCGGTCCCTTTAAACCCATAAATTCGGGTTGGGATATATGAGTTCAAAATGAACGCTCTGGCCCCCGGGAAAAAATGGAACGCCCACGGGGGCCCAAGGAATTCTGAAATGAACGTTTTTTTTCTGCCAGTGGCTTGGGAAAGAAATCCCAGGGGACCAGCTTTATCTTCCTCGCACTGCCTCTCTCTCTCTCTCTCTCTCTCTCTCTCTCTCGCTAGCTCGCTCTTTCTCTTTCTCTATTCCATACTCGCCTGGAATATTCAGCGAGTTTATTACGAAGAAAAAGAACGGGAAGAGAGGGTCCTGAATGAAGGGGCCTTGGGATTGAAATTCTCTGAGGAATCGAGTGTAAATAATATTTTGTTTCTATTAATAGGGTTTTAGCTAGGAATGTGAAAACTTTTGGTATGAGAGTTTTTAAGGAGAGAGAGAGAGTGCTAGAGAGATGGTGTGAACGAGAGCGAGAGATATACAAATATCTACGTATTTTCCTAAAAAGTTCCTTAAAAATAGTGCCTAAGAATAACCACAGCCCCAAAAAGCCTCCCCTCCAAGGGAGAAGCCGAAAAAGGTCGATGTGGTCAGGTCACTTCTAGTGGGCAAGGGGGCCGGGAATTTGCGCGGAAATTGGGCCCGAACGGGGCGAACATTTCAAGCTCGCGAGGGAAGGGACGGAGAGCTTTTCTGAAATATTGCGCGTACACAGGGTCACGGCGGGCCCTAGCTACGTAATGATCCTATGTGCGGGAGCAGATTTATGCCGAGTTATTAATAAAAACTACTCGAATGATGGAAATACCTTAAAACGCCTAAAATTTTGGTTTTTACTCGAAATACAAATTTTGATGTAGTCACAATCTTTTACTGAGTTCGCACGGTTAATTACGGATAACTTGCTGAGTTTAAATACTTTTGAGATTAAAATATATTAGCGAAATAGCCGACACGACAAAGAAGATCAAAGAATAGCCCACCTCGGATCGGCATATCATTTTTTTTTTTTTTTTTTTTTTTTTTTTTTTTTTTTTTTTTTTTTTTTTTTTTTTTTTTTTTTTTTTTTTTTTTTTTTTAATTTTATTTTTTTTTTTTTTTTTTTTTTTTTTTTTTTTTTTTTTTTTTTTTTTTTTTTTTTTTTTTTTTTTTTTTTTTTTTTTTTTTTTATTTTTTTTTTTTTTTTTTTTTTTTTTTTTTTTTTTTTTTTTTCTTCTCTTCCTCCCCTTCTTTTTTCTTTTTTTTTTTATTTTTTTTTTTTTTTTTTTTTTTTTTTTTTTTGTGATTTTTTTTTTTTTTTTTTTTTTTTTAAAATTTTTTTTTTTTTTTCCT